CTGCTTGAGGTTCCAGAAGTGGGATACTCCTGCCGTGGCCTCCGTACATGTGGGGCAGCCAGCTCCAACCGCCATCAGCTTCGTAGGTCCGTTAAACACGACGCGGTGCATTTCGTTGATCGCCTTTCCGCATTTGCACTGCAAGTGATACAACAGCATTGCCACGCGTTGCCTCCTCTATCGGACACATTGTCTGTGTTTCTACGATTATTCTTCACTCCATGACCGCGGGTTACTCTGTGATATAAGGGGCACCTCGTAAGTGTGGCAGAAAAATATTAACTTGCGCTGCCGACTTTCAGAAGCAATGGGATCCAACAACAGCACGCGCGTTTATTCGATAAAGTTAGGTTGGATCGTCTTAAACTATCGTTGACATACGTCGAAAAGACTCCACGATGTAAAGATAAAATGACGGGCAAATTCTGATATTCGAATAACCATCTGATATACATATATATATATATATATATTTATATGACACTATCTTATATTATATACAGGCTATTACCCCGTTCCTCCAGACGGTCTGATTTGAGGATGGCGGTTTAACCATTTATCTCTCACTTTTTTATTTGAGGATGTATTTACATGTAAACGAAAATATACTGTATTTAGAGCACGACCCCCGCCCCCCCCCCGCCCCGCGCCCCGCCCCCCCCCCCCCCCGCCCGCCCCCCCCCTGCGAGTCATATAGGAATATTTGTTTAAAAAATTTTTTATCCAAATATTATATAAAATCTGAAAATTTTACTTTAAAATGACACACAATTTCAAGCTGTATTTAGCACTATTAAATTTTGAAATTATCATTAATGGTTAAGAAGGCACAATAAACTCAGTCAAATTCTTAAAAAAAGAGCAAAATGCATGTGAGTAATTTTGAAGATTATGTTTTCTTCAAAGTTAGTGGACGGCGGCGGGCAGGCGTTACACGCTCCCGTTGTCAAATTATTTGCACACACATCACACATAGCACACCACAACATACAACACACATACACACACCACACACACACATACACACACACACAGCACACACATTACACACACACACACGCCACCAACGCCGCGGCAACAGACACGCGAACAGACAGCGAACAACACACACGCACACACACACACACACACTCACACAAGACACACACAGACACACACCCAGACACGCACGCACGGCACGCAGCGTAGCGCACAGCACAAGCCACGCACGCACGGGCACAACACACGCACACGCAGCAGCACAACAGCAGGCACACACCGACGCCCCAAGCAGCACAGCACACAGCCATACAGCACATACATACATACATACACAGCATACACACATAGCACACATACATCATACAATACATACATACATACATACATACATGACATACATACATACATAGACATAGCAGTACATACATACATACATACATACATGTATACATAGCATACATACATACATACATACATACATACATACATACATACACGCAGGCACGCCGCACGCCACGGACACACGCATGACACACAACATACGAAAGCTGCAGGCCGTCTCTCGTTGGGGTTCTGTCTAAATTTTCGCCTCAGCAGGCTGCATGTGCGTGGGCAGTGGGGTGGCTGTTTATAATAACACCGCAAGCCGTAATGGCTTTAGTGTGTGGCGTGTGTGCGCGTGGCCCGTGTGCGTGCCGGTGCGTTCGTGGCGTTCGTGGCGTGGCGTTTTTATGTGGCTTTGCTAATGCTAGGTGCAAGGCTCCGCAGCAATTAAAGTGATTATTATCTATACCTTTAATACTACATTTAGTATAGCTATATTGTCATTAAAAACCCGTGAGAAAACACATTTAATACTTAACAGAATTTCAAAGGTTATGGTATATATAAGTGTGGCATGTGTGTGCTCTAAACAATCGAAACGGTCTAAAAATGTCAAGCGCATTTGGGAGCCGAATAAGCGCGCGGCAGCGGTTCACCTCGGCCGTTTGTCTAATATGTTGCACACACGCGCGCAGCGGCACGCATTAACCACCGGCATTCACACACATCCGGCCATGCGCACGCACAATGCACACGCGCCCCACGCACACACATACCACATTACACACACGAGCGCGCACACAACATACACGCACACGCATGCACACGCACACACACGCATACCATAGCTGACGCTCGGGATGAGATTTTTCGGCGGATCGGCGCGAAATCGGCGGATTTGACAGTCGCAGGGGTCAATTTGTGAAACGTGCAAATTCGTTGAGAAAATTGGGGGATCAAGAATGTAAAAAAATGCAAAATTTATTAGCCCTGAACAGTACCCTGACAGTACAGACTGACAGCAAAAGTCAACAGCGGTGGTTAGCAGATAGCTAGCGTGTACGCGCCTGCAGGCTAGTGCGATATCCGTCATGGCAAGCAGCGTGGGGCCGATTAGATGTCGGCGAACGATTTGTTTCATGGCCTATGGCGCGAAGCGAATGCGCGTGTGAGGCGCCTGGGAGGGGAGAACGAAAGTACAACGAAAAAGCAGGTAGCTCCCTCGTTCCTATCGTTTCATCCTATGAGGGGTTTGATAATTATTAAGGATGGCGGACTCCCTATTTCTATCCGCTGGTATAGTGTTACAATATTTTGTAGTATTTTATGAAATCGGGCATTGTGGATGTGTTTAATTGACAAATGCTGGATATACAGGAAATACACGCAGATAATCAAGTAAGTCAGGTTAGAAAAAAATTATGAAGGTTGAAAAGCATGAAGAATCGAGATTTACTCCAAGCCGTTCCTTCGTCGACGCCGTGATCTTGGACGTGCGCGGGTCGGTAGCAGGTGATTCAGCATGCTCTGATTGCGGAGCTGCGCATGAAGATTTGGCGATCTTAAAATTTGGATGCGGGTTTTCCCGATGAGAGCACGTCAATGCACAAAGGTGATCACGGTCTCTGGCTTGGACCTGCGCATGCGGATTTTGCGATCTTAAAAAGTTGGTGCGGGTTTCCGCCGATGAATGGTCGAAGTTTGCTTCGGGCACATAACGTTTTAGAAAATTGCCTCCAAACAGTGAGCTTTACCGATGAAAAAATCGGCGTTCTAACTTAAGGGCGGATGTAATTCGGCGAGCGCCCGAGAAGGGGCCCCAGCTCGAATTCGGGCGTGAGCACACGCGCACGGTTTGCGAAGGAGAGTACGGAAACGACACTTCGGTCTTTCTACTATTTATATAGTAGATGAACAGCTATATTATATTATATTTTTTTTATAAATTAAAATTATATTATATATATTTATATTAATATTATATTCTAATTATAATATATATAATAACTTATATTATGATTATATTATATTATATATATTTATCATTATTTATATTATATTATATTATATTATATTATATTATATTATATTATATTATATTATATTATATTATATTATATTACATTATATTATACTATATATTATATACCTGTGTATCCGCCCAATGCAGCACCAGTCGGTATCCAGGTAGAATGTCCTTTCTGTTATTGATCATATCTAAGGCGTACTCGAACACGGGAATAATCGTCTGACCTCCCGCCCACGTTCCCGACATCGGGAAGAATCCTCCTAGGAAGAGGTCGATGACGCCATCCGGCGGCGGAACATTGTCGTAGAACTTAAAGATCTCGGAGTCGACGGCTGCCGACGTCATGACGCAGGCAGACAGGACGACGAGACGCAGCGTCAGTCGCTGCGTCAGGCCTGCGTCGCGCATCGCGATTCGTTCTCTGATACGAAATAAGACTAGATACGAACTAGAATACGACGTGAGACTAGATACGAACTAGAATACGAAATAAGAATCTAGATACAAACTAGAATACGACGTGAGACTAGATATAAACTATAATACGACATGAGACTAGATACGAACTAGAATACGACATGAGACTAGATACGAACTATAATACGACATGAGACTAGATACGAACTATAATACGACATGAGACTAGATACAAACTATAATACGACATGAGACTAGATACGAACTATAATACGACATGAGACTAGATACGAACTATAATACGACATGAGACTAGATACGAACTATAATACGACATGAGACTAGATACGAACTATAATACGACATGAGACTAGATATAAACTATAATACGACATGAGACTAGATACGAACTAGAATACGACATGAGATTAGATACAAACTATAATACGATATGAGACTAGATACGAACTAGAATACGACATGAGACTAGATACGAACTAGAATACGACGTGAGACTAGATACGAACTATAATACGACATGAGA